TCTGATGCACGGCGACCCTACAGGACAGGGTAGAACTGCCCCCATGGGTTTCCAAGACTGTGGGTTTCCACGACTGTCACTCTTTACAGGAGTAGAAGGCCTCGTCCTTTTCCTGTGGAGCAGTGTTTAGTTTCAAACTGTTGACCTTGTGTAATATAAAAGTCTCCTGGTTCGGCCCCAGCAACTCCTGGGGCCCCTGCGCACTGCATGTACTGCTGTAGAATGAATGCAAAACACAACCAGAAGGACTCCAGGCTCCCAGAGACCCCACAGGACACGGCAGAGCTGCCCATGGCATCTCTGAGGCTGTCCATCTTTATGGAAGCAGGAAGCCTCATCTTTCTCCCTAGGAGCTGCTGGTGGACTGGAACTGAGCACCTTTGGGTAGCAGCCAAGCACTGAGCCTCAGTTTCTACCAGGGCTCCATAGGGATTAATTATGTCCCCTGCCCCTGTGGATGTGGCCCTGTCTGGAAAGAGGGCTGGCCTTCTGTGGTGTGAATGGTCATCCCTTCAAGGGTGGGTCCGCAGCCCACTCACGCCTGCGTTAGACAGTGGGAGCAGAGTCAACACACAGACAAACGGGGGGACAGTGGGGGGCACATCGAAGTACATGAGGTCAGGGAGACCCTTCCCCTGGAGCCAAGCCTCTGAACTGTGACCACCCAGGGGCCCCACCCACTTGCCAGCACTGACCGTGCTGAAGAGCTCGGCCGCCTGCTCCAGGAGGCCCACCAGGCCGCTCTCGGTGAAGTAGCGCCCAGAGCACACGCCGTCCTCGTCCGGGGACAGGGTGTCATCGGACACCGCGGACTCCTCCAGCACGTTGGAGGAGATGTTCTGGAAAGGACCACAAGAGAACCAGGCTGAGGGGCGGCACAGCTGGAGCCCTGGGGGGAGGACAAGGCGTCCACCTCCCCCTCCACCTCTCTCCCACCGCAGCTCTCTGGGGGTGGTGCTGTTTTGGGGGTACCCTGGAAGCCTGGGGGTCAAGACCACCCAGGATGCGTGAGGAGACAAACTGCGTGCCTCGCCTCGAGAATGAGTGTGTGAGTGGTGTGGCAGCGCAGTCCCCGCGTCTGGAGAAGAACTGCTCACAGGATCA